TGTATTTTCGGTTGCGGACTAATTCTTCACTTGTTACGAATAGACCAATACGCGAATTTCCGCGAACTTTAGATAATGTCTTCGCGACGCACTTATTCAAACGTATATTGTTTATTTACTCCAACGTCAACGATGCTTTGGAGTGACGATGCAGGCTGATCGGTGCACGGCAATTGTTCACATTTCAGGATATCGTTGACGCACCCTGTAATGCTCCTAAAGCGTACGTTTCATTAGCACAGCAGGGCTCTAAGTGCGTCTCTCTCGCACGCATACGGATTATTACACTTTTTCTACTACGTATAACCATACTACCTTTAACTTACAACTATACTACCTATAAATGTTTTGAAAAACTCACAAAAATGGAGTCTAGATCCTGTACCAGCTAATAACAAATATTGAATTTAAAAGAAAACTATGAAGGTACAAACGATGGAACGCAGTGGATATATACTAGAGACCATACTCTTTCGAAGGGGACTGATTGGAAAGAGGTACAAACGATACTTTCTTGAAGAACTTCAAAAATTGGTGTCTGAGCGTTGTACATGCTACGCACTTAAGTAGAATTTCTATAGTTTCTGATAGGTTTTAACAATAGTTCTGCTACGTAAGATCGTTAAAATAGGAATTTTCCAAAAATTGAGGTGCTACATGGGTGTCAGCTCCAGCACTGCACTTTTTTAAAATCTCTTGAAAATGATTCAACAGTAGGCTTTTTCGATAGCTCTCGAGGAGTTCTATAGTTCCAGATAGGTTTTAACAACAGTTCTGCTTCGTAACATCGTTAAAATACCTATTAAGGATACTAGTCGCACCATATGTTTCAGTGCAGGTACGCATAAGGAGCTGGCTTTCAGTGTTGTTTTCAGGTTGTTTTTTAAACAGTTCGGGAATAATTCTCTCTAGTACTCAATGTTGGGACCATAGTTCCGCTTGGAACTATCACCGCATCGCTGCACTCCTTAACACAGTCAGGCATAAGGTGCTGGCTTTTGTCTTAGTAAATCTTATCGAGCTTACACTGTACATTTGAATTTAAGATTACAAAAAAAAAAGATTTAGGCAATATCTGATAAGCGGCCTCTTTCTAAGGGTTGCTCTGGGAATCAGTTGTAAATTGTGGAGAATCTCTGCCCGCCAGGCTACCTGTTCGTGATCACGTTCAGCTCAGCTACGACCGGATATGCATTATCGACGGAGGCGATGATCACAAAATTCTATTCCCGGACTCGCCGCTACGATTTAGCGCCATGTTTTTGGTATCGCCTAAAATCGTAGCGTTGTGCATCTTCCCACTCATTTCTGTCCTTACATCTTAAATCGTGATATTGTTGTACATTGTCAAAATCAATCAAGACGATCGAACATATTCACTGCCTGAACCGATTCTGATGAAGATGATCTCCTTATGCAACAAGATTAAATTTTTATGCAATTTTTCTTTAAAAAATAACGTATGCAGTTAGGTCTCATGGAATCGTCACGATAAAACTAAACAGATGACGCAAATCTTGGAACATTTACATTTGGACTATCGGTTGACCGCAAATACTCATTTAGACTCAGTCTTAAGTAGTTAGCAATATAAAGTGAGCAGTGATAAGCACTTAGATTGCTTCAGCAATTATGTTGCAAAGTTGTTCCTTTTAAAGGTAAAAATGACATTTATAGTTTAAATACTGTGCAACTTTGAAATTACTTTTAAATCTCTTGTGATGTAGCTATTATGTGAATTAAGTTGAATAGTTTATATTATATTGTTCATATTTATTCTATTTAGGTTTAACTTGATGTCTTGGATCACTTTCAAGATGTGGGTTCCTTTGAAACTATTTGTAGCCATTTGGTTACTTGCTCAGGGAGCATGTGATGCTTGGGGATATGAAGATAATGAGATAAGCTCCTGCTCTCTTTCCAATGATCTCATTAAGGAGATAGAAGATTATGCTCCTATTGTTCATAATATTATCAATATGACAGTAAATGGTACATATAAAAGATCAACATGGCAAGAACTGTCAACATTTGTTGATAAATTTGGAGCAAGACCATCGGGCTCACAGGTTCTTGAAGACTCAATTCAATATATGTTGAATCGTTCCTTGAATGTTAACTTAGAAAATGTTCATGGGGAAAATGCTACAGTGCCTCACTGGGTTAGGTATATATGTTATACTGTTGTCTATGCGAACAAAAGTCTTGCAAAAATCTATATTTCAGAGGATCAGAATCAGCGACTTTACTTGAACCAAGGAAGAAGGATATCGCACTGTTAGGTTTGGGATATAGTGTTGGAACAGATGCAGATGGCATTACAGCTGATGTGATTGTTGTACAAAGCTTTGCAGAGTTGAAAACCAGAGCAAAAGAAGTATGATACACTAGACTCTTTTATCCATTCATAATTATGTTTTGTATAAATATTTTGATTTTAGGTTTCAGGTAAAATTGTGGTGTACAATCAAAAATTTGTTTCTTATGGAGAAACCGTAAAATATAGATCAAAAGGAGCAACAGAAGCTGCAAAGCATGGAGCTGTCGCTGCTTTAATCAGATCAGTAACTCCATTCTCTTTATATACACCACATACAGGAATGATGTCGTATGGTGAAAATATCACAAAAATTCCAGCAGCATGTATCACCGTAGAAGATGCAACTCTCCTCAACAGAATGGCAGACAGAGGTAACAACAGGAATCAAACACAACTTTCTGGAATACATCCTAATAAACATATAAATTTTCAGGAGAACGAATCAGGCTAAATTTAAAGATGGAAGCACAAAGCTATCCGGACAAGATATCGCGAAATGTAATTGCAGAAATAGTCGGTGTCGAAAAACCAAATAAAACTGTAGTGATATCCGGACACATTGACAGTTGGGACGTAGGTCAAGGTGCCATGGACGACGGTGGCGGTGCATTCATCTCCTGGAACTCTTTAGCTATCTTAAAATCATTAAATCTAAGACCCAAACGAACGATTAGAGCAATTTTATGGACTGCCGAGGAAATGGGTATAGTTGGAGCACGCCAATACATCCAAGAGCATCGCGCGGAACAATCAAATTTACAATTCGTGATGGAATCTGATATGGGAACTTTTGAACCCGTAGGACTGGATGTAACGGCGCCAGTAGAGGTCATGTGTATATTGAAAAAAGTCATGAGGTTCGCATACTCGCCAATTATCAGTATAATACTAGATAAATAACTGCTTTAGTTAAACCGATATTCAAAATTGACAGCCTCTTGACACCTCTTGGTGATATGAAGCTTCGCAGTCCTGCAGAAGGTCCTGATATTGAAGATTGGATAAATGCAGGAGTACCAGGGGCATCGCTTTGGAACAAAAATAGCAAATACTTTTGGTACCATCATACAAACGCTGACACCATGCTAGTCGAAAATCCTGACGCTCTGGATATGAACACTGCATTGTTCGCAGCAGTCTCTTATGTAGTGGCTGATTTGAGTTATGATTTTCCCCACTTAAAATAACGTAAATATATTTTTAATACTACTATTATTATAATACTTCCATGACATAAATGATCAACACGCATTATTCAATATATGGACTAAACAGATCACTGTATTGTAGCTTTTGTCTTAAAACGTTGTTCTCTACATCCGCACCTTACAATCATTCTCCTTGATTAAACTCTAGCCATCTGTACTCACCAAACAGATACTACAATTATACAAGTTTTCTATATTAAGAAAACTTATGGTCCATAAAACTATCGCAGTCTCCAATCCCTAAAGATCTCTCCCTTAACATGTTATTCTATCAGTAAAGTGTCTATATTAAGGTATCTTCATCCTGTGTCTGAAAAACCATAAGTAGCGAATGTTGCGAGGTTGTTCTCTGACTAGAAGTAAGCAGAGCGGTTTTTTCACCACCACTGCCACTAATGGAACAATCTGGCGAGCTACCGTCAAAGGCCATGTAATTAGTAGCAGTACTACTTGTCGAAGGCATGTCATTCAAATCCGGAGATGCCAACGGAGGATCCTGATTCTGTCTGGCGCTATTCTCCAAGGACACCAACTGCATACTGTAAGATTCACGATATCCGGAAGTGCTGGAAGTGTCCTCATCCCAGGACACATCAGATTGAGGATGAAGATGATGATGGTGTGGATGATGATGATGATGATGATGGTGGTGATGATGATTTTGATGCTGATGCTGATTCTGTTCGTTGTTATTTCCCCTATCACTGTGACTCTGTCTCGTAGATAAACTACGTCTGGACCTTATCGAAGAGGAGTCCGAAGGGATGCTAAAAATCGACGGCTCCGTCGTCGAAGATGGTGTCTGAACTGTCGGCTGGCTAGGAGTGGAATCCGCATTTTCTAATTTAATGTGCGATACCTATAACAAAACATGGCAAGAAAATCATTAGGTATTCTACGTGAAGAATCTTATTATTTTTATCCATCGACTTTTCGTACACTCACTTCAACGTGACTCCTTCGACTCTTTCGTAGGCGGAAGGTCCTCTTGCTTTGACCCATAGAGCGTTGAAGACGTGGCCTGTCTGGACGAGAGTCACCGGAGCTGTCCTCGGTCGGACTGCTCGGACTCAACTGGCTCATCAACGTTTCCCCTGAGAAGACGATCGCCATAGTCTTTACATCAGGCATCTAGTCTACCAGTCTAGTCTACCAGTTTCTACTCATGCTGCTGTTCGAAGGTGCCTCTATCACTCTATAGACACTGTGATGAACCTTCGTGTGTTGTATGGAACCGAGACGGTGCGTGACTCTCAAGGCATATATCGCACGAGTATTATCAAAACATCTTTCTAATATATATCGTTATAGATGTCTAGCCAGAAAGACATACTGATAGTGTCAATTGGTTTCATTAACAGAACTCTATAAATAATAAATCTGCAAGCTACGTGTAAGATAATCATGCGTAACGTAAAATATATAATAATTAGTGTTAATAGTGTACACACGCACGCACACTCAACCGCAGACACACATGTATATATAGAGATATTTATATTTACATATACGTATATAGTACGTACAGGTCTTTACAGTTAGGTGACTGATAGAGAGAAATAGAAAGGGAAGAAAGTGATGAGTGAAAGGTGTGTATCGATAGAAAAATTTTTAGAGAAGGAATGTGCCAAACGGATTCAACGCTGCGGAAGGACAGGAGATAATTAAATTTCGTATAGTTCGACTTGCCTAGTCGTTATCAGTGACAGATATTTTTTGAAGAAACTCGAAGGGCCGTACAAAGTTCTATTTTTTTTTTTTATCAAATCAACCCATGGTAACCTCAAGGAATAATTGATCCTGTTGTCGATTTTTAATCCCAGGGATACGATACTGAAAACAGGTGTTCACCAGGACCTTGTGTCTTTGATGGAGTGCCGTTGTTAAAGATACGACCACTAAGGACTAACGGATTAATGGAGGGATCTGGGATTTTTACCTGACGAGTGCCTAAACTCTACGGAAGAGACAAAGCGTAGTTTGGACGTCTTTTGATGAGGTAAGATAGTGGGATGAGGCTTAACATTGTTACGTTCATCGCTAGTAGAAGATGGTTGGGATCTATCTGAAACATGCCACATTGAACGTCTAATATGAGGTAACAAGACGATCATCGCACAGTAAGACAGACCACTCCGCAGTAGCAGATAATAGTGTTCAATCACGTTCTCTACATCGTCTACGTCACCTAAATATATTAAATTATTTTATTATTTTCAGATATATATTACGTGACAATATCTCGATCATTACCTCCGAGAGAAATTCTTCAAGATGCACGCGACATCTTCCTCTGCTTGTTTCCATCTCAAAAATACTTTTCAAAATTCATTAATCATCTACGACGTAAGCACGACGTATTCACGTGAGTTTTTTTTTTTTTAATTGAGCACGCAATCGCCTCTGACAAAGTAATGTAACATCAGGATAACCCATTGTCAGTGAGGGATGATGAGAAACAGAGAGAGAGAGAGAGAGAGAGGGAGAAGAAAATAAAAGACAGATCAGTGAAGACAATGAAGTCGTGAAGAGTAAAAGAACATAGAGGGTAGTTTTGAGTGAAGAATGTCGAGGCGAAGGCGTTCCTGGTGCAGAGTGGTTATGCAACGATTAACGGGATACCAACTGTTGGACATTACCATTGTCTAAATACTGCTATGTATAGTAAGTTCGGTGTGGACTTAGGTAACGTTACAAACAAACGATAATGAGTATATATACATATATGTATATAATATGTATGTATATACTAATAGAATATAACATAAGGATGGTATACAGCAAAAAGGCAAAATATACAGAACGACGAGTCAAATGATATAAGTGGTGACAGTTAATTGTCACTATGGGCTCGAAAGGAAGTGGGGAACGAAGAAAAAACTATAAAAGCACATAAGGGGGAATTATTAATTTCGAGTAAATTCATAACGTACGATATAGTGAAATAGCATAAAGAATATACACACGTACAGGATATATATCGTGAGAATAAATATAAAGTCACGTAGAATCGTATCTGCTTACCTCCTTTCCCTAGCTAGCAGTGGAAGCAACGTAAATCAATCAATGTGTCAATGTCACGAGGGAATGCAGAGAGGCCCGTGCGTTTTCAAAAAAGTCCTCAGGTGACTCTCAACAAACGAGCACGTGCAATTGTCGATAATTATTTTGGAAAAAAAAATTCACCTATTTGCTTGCGCACGAGCACGTTAGTCGTGAACGCGTCTCGCAACGGGCCTCGAAAAATTAATAAAAAATAACAAGAGCATTGCGGATCGGACGGAAGATAGAAGCAATGCGACCTTATGCAAAGTGCGAGCATATATGTGGTACATATATATATGTATATACATAGAACAAAGTATCACGTTCAAGTATGATCAACCAATAAATAAAATAATGTAATCATAGACTCGTCGCAGTGCCGCATAGACAATGGCTCGATCCAACTGTGGTAAAGTATTTACGTACAACTGTGATCTGTGATCATTGTGTCAGCAACGATACGCGATATCGATCCTTGATTATACCATTAAGATCGATATCATCTGGTACCTTATGTCCTTGACATATACAAACTGTGTTATAATTGCAATTATAATCAACAGCTTCCATCCCTTCGCCGATATTTAGAGTCTGGATTTTGTTCTGTTTGGTTCAGGTCAGGTTGTGTCAGGATCTTACTAAGAAGTTAGGTACCTGTCTGTGCTGGCTGATCTGTATGTGAATCTCGAAGGCCCAGGTCGCTGCCTTCTCTTAACGTTGACGATCCTGCACTTGTGCTCGATACTGATCCTGTGTTGAAAGAATTCAAGATTTAGAAATTCAATGTTGTCGAATTAAACTAATATGCTGTTTCAGGTACCTCGAGTTGCGTTGGTCCCGACAATTATGGGAACTTGATTGGTTATATTGATCTTGGTTGCCGTATTGGGATTTATGTTTTGCGAATGAATCGAATGAGGAATCGATTGTGGAACTGGAGGATGCGATACTGGAGTCTCGGCTGGTGTCCTGTTTATGTGAGCTCTAGATCCTAGATCTCCGGTCAGGAGATCTATCAAGGACGGCCTCTGTGTTCTTACGTGCTGACCTTCAGTTGCATTCTGAGCTGCGTTTGGTGCTGCTGGGTGCATATCCACTACACTTCTCTTTGGCTCAGGCTGCATTTCGTCTGTAGACATTTATAGAAGTCGATGGAAAAGATGATTGAACTGCTTTTGTGTTAGACTCACATAATTTCTTATCTTCAATCTCTTTCTTTAAATCCTTAAGTTCGTGAAGAAGATCCGTCAGTAAGGTACCACGGGATTTTGGTACTGGCATTGCAATTCCATTGATCTTCTTTCGTATAATGCTTTGCATGTTTCTCTCGTGTTCAGAAATTGGAGGCTGTCCTATCTTGTGAACGATGAAGGGTAACATCTGAATATAGAGCGCTGTACGATGGGTCACAACGAATTCTAAAAAATTCCACAAGTGTATCGATGCTTCGTTTCGTTTGTTCAATAATCGCATCGTTCTCAGTACTTTCGGCCATTCCGTCTTCAATTCAGTTTCAAAGCAGATCGTCATGATCTTTAGGGCTGCAAAGAAAAGAATAGCGATGATCATTTTAATATTTTTTTTTTAATGGCTTAAAAAACTATGGCCTACTTTACCTAAAAATGCTACTTGGTACAATGTTAGTGAAATCTTAGTGGGAACTTTAGCATCTCTGGCAGTGAATGTCAAACTTCCGGCTCTCATGTCAGCAGCCGTCTTCAAATTTTGTGTTGTGATTGGTGCAGTTTTTGCTGACGGTGGCCAAAGAGTGTTTAGAACAGCAGTCAAGGCAAAGCTTATATCGGATTGTCTCAACTTAGGGACATCTGAAAGTAAAAAATTTATAGATGGAACAAGTCGTTAATCAGCAGCAAGAAAGATTACCTTTCCTTCCGGTTCCAACGCGCAGAAACAAAGGTATTAACAAATTCAGTAACATATTCTCTGTTCGATTTTGAGTGGCGAACATTGACTGTCCGCCGCATACGTTCTCCAATGAGTATCCTTCCCCAAGAGAAATTACTTGAAGAGCTATAAGGCGCAAGACTGTTGAACAAAAGTGTTGAGGTGGAATTTGGCTCATGAGGGCAGCTGAAGCAGCTGAAGTCATCTCTACCAAGCCAGTGGTGTCACCAACGATAAGAGCCTATTGTTTCATAATAGGAAACATTTAGTCACACGAGTATACCTCTCTTTTCACTGAGGACAACTAACCTGACAAGTGCCGAGCAAAGTTTTCAAATGTTGAAAATGGGAAATGTACGGGCATTTTGAAAGTGTCTCATAAATGCCTTTCAACAAATCACCGGCTGCTTCCCAATCAGTATTCCTTCTGATCGATGCTTTTTTATAAATCTTATTAAAAGTCTTGTCTAATCTTCGCAGAATGATCGTCAAAGCTGGTCTCATATCGTCATTGGCCCATTCGGTTGACGGAAGAACGTCATTCATATACCGTCTCAATCCTCGGCATCCCATAGTCTCGGGATCGTACGGTGAGATTTTCAAGAGACTGTGAGCTATGTCTGCCAGTCGCTAAAAACGTTAAAAAATGAAATTTCATTCGACTCATAGTTGCAATTTTCTAATCGACGTACCACATGACACTTGGAATCAAGAAGCTCAATAGTTTTTCCATCTTGAGACTTTTTGTTCAGTTCAACAAGTCGCACTGAACAACGCGCAACAAAATCGCCCACCATGTTGAGCAGAGTGTCCCGCGGTCTGCGAAATTCATTTTTGTGACAACTTTCTGCGTCTTCGTTGTCACGATCGTATAAAATACGAGTTTTTGAGTGTTCTATGTATTTATTCGTATGAGCGTCATCATCAAAATCAAATCCTGGCGAATAAGGCCCTTTTCCATAATTTCGTTGACTGGAACCTTTGTGCTCAGGACTTGATTTCTGTGGTCCATTGTAGTATCTGACAATAGAGATGTATCAGAGGTATTTTCGTTGTAGATCATTCTCCAAAATTGTATACTCACTTGGTCAGTGCCTCGGAATTATTGACTAAAGTCTTCACTGCTATTGCTAACTGATTAATTATTTCTTTTTCAGTTTTTCCCTCCTTGTTATAAGTGGGAGATTGTATCTGCTGCACGTAACAGGGCAAAATAGCTTCGAGTATCGTCTGCCAACATAAAATATATTTATTTATATTTTTTTTCCAGCACGTTCACGGCTGATTAAGGAAAGTTCATTCACCAGCATCTGTTGTCCTCTGATCGAATCAGCTGCGAATGCTATCACCATTACACAGAGAGATATGCAATCCAACACAGTTACCATTTCATTCTCATCGTGGTAACAAAAATCAATGGCTTTCAAAGGTTTCTCCTCTTTAACTAATTCTCCTATGTTGAGAGGATCAGGTGACGGAGTCTCCAAGCTCAATAATAAATTAAATAGACAGGCCGAAGGAACCTGAAATCCCAGAAGCATGTAAATGAATTCAGCAAGCATTTTTCTCTAACGAGTTACCTTGTGTGCTTCCCCGTGAGTACTTGTCTCATCAGTATCCAGAATGGTTGATACACTGCCAAACATTTGAAGAATGAACGGTTTACGATTCATCAGATAAAACTGCTTCACTGCATATTCAACGGTTGTCGTGACCAATTTGTTTGTCTGATGTGTTGAATAAAGTTGTAGCAGTGTAGGCATGATCAACAGATAGCCATTTGTTGAGAAGATATTCTTGAAGTTATGTGCAGCATTTATGTATGTGGCTATAACGTATCTGAGAATACAGGAATCTTCACTGTGAAGAATCACAGCACCGTTTAACACGTTGAGGAAGAGATGAATGTCGCCAGAGTAAGCAAAGTTGCCAGCCATTGCCTCGAACATTCGAGCTATTAGTCTGACCCACATGAATTTGTGCATCACATCCAGACCTAGTAATTCCTATAGAGAGTAAAATCGTTCTTTGAATTCATTAGACGATCATGAGAGTCATGATTTTTATGAAGATACATACCCTGCCAATTTCACCGCCTTTATAAAGATCCAGGTCAGCCTCCAAAGCCTTCCTGGGAAAAGATGGTAGCTTCATCAATTCCTCGTGAAGAAAAACAACCCTCTGGACGACCATATCAACGTTCTTCAAAATAGCCCAGGTCAATAGGACCTTTCCGATCTCCACAAACTTATGTATCAATTCTTGACGTTGCAAAGCGTTGAAGGCTTCCTCGGTTTTCATGTGGACCAATTCCAATTGTGGGTATTGAGATCTCTTGAAAAAATAATAATCTCGCACGTACGACGAAGGATTGTGTATTTGATCTGGAAGATAGGGAAAATATAAACATCGATTTTACTAGGAATTTCTCTCATAGAAAATATGTGATGTTTACGTGTCTTGTAATCGACAAGGAAATATTCGCGATGCTTTGATTCCTCAATTCCAAAAAAGTCTAGAGATTCTCGTAAAATCTGACAAAACTGCGTGTCCTCTTGAACCGGAAATTGGGAAGGAATTCCGCCTGCATCCGGATCCTGAGGACCATGAACGACTATCTTCTTTGCTGATGGCACATTGGCTGTCAGGAGGATCGAGGCGTCGCACTGTTCCTTTCTCAAAATTTGTTTAAGGTCCTTGAACATTATTCCATGAACGCTGTGCACCACCTAGTTAATATTTTGAAAAATAAATTTATCTGTAGAGTCTCCTTCTAACTTTTTACTCACCATCCACAAGATGGATAAAGCAGTTCCTATGAGTTTTTGTCCTTCTTCGTGGGGCGAACGCACATAAAACATCACATAGCCAATAATATAATTGTAAAGAGCGAAGGCCGCCTGTTGTGGTAATTTTGGTACAAATCTGATAAGATGCCTTAAAATTTTGAACATGAGTTCCTGCTTCTCTCTGGTTAAACGTTCCAAGACATATCGTAGGAAGAGAGCACTATCTTCGACAAGACAATTCCAGATTACCTAAAAATTTTAAAAATATTGTATATAATATTTCTTAAAAATTTTTAAATATTCTAAAACCTCAAGTGTGTACTGACTTGATAAGCCACTTCGTAGACAGCGTTTCCGTCATCAGAAACAGCTGCATCGTCAAGTAAATTAATGATTTGCACTATTGCTGAACACAGCGAAGACGGAAATAACGACAATGCTGATTGGCCATGATGTGAAGTGTTTCTAGGTGCAGTTTCACCAACATCCTCGTCACCTATATTTACCAGAAATGTATTAATCAATCGTTAAATTTATAATATTCATAGGAAAAATATGACGCTACCTTCGTCATGATCATCGCCAACTGGACTCGGTTCATAAGCAGCCTGTACTGTAATTGGTATTGTCGTGATAAGAAAATTCTCTCGTTCTTCTCGCTTCTTGTCCACCTGTGCTTGCAGAGCTTTCTTTATAAGCTCTGTTTGCTGCTTCTTGCGCGTCTTGGTCGCAGTTACGAGTGATCTCTAGAATTGGTAAAAAGAAGTATATTATTTATTTCTACTTAATTTATATAGCACATACATAAACTATATATCCAGTGAATTATATTAAAGATGGATTTACGTGTCTCTCCTGATTGATAGTGACTTCCTCTACTTTGGTCTTGACCTGAGGCATCCAAGGTGGATCGACAACCGGCAGTGACTCAATACCAATTTTTGGAGAAGGCAAAGTGAATTCTATTCCTGGTGGCGGCACTTTGAAAGTCATATGAGCAGACTCTTCCATCCTGGGCCAGACCTGATACCTTAGCTTCCAAAGAACTTGAAATCGGAGAATAGCATTGATACGAACAGAAGTGCTGCTATGCTTAAGACCATGATGCATCAGTTCACTAGCCTGATTGGGTGCTCTGACGGCAGCCACAATGAAGAGGGATGCTGCGGATGCTGCGACTTCCTGATTCGATTCCAGCAGAAGTTCCCAGGCCACAGGAAGTACGTCGATGAACGAATCCTCCGACATAACCACCGCACCTTTCACTAAGGTCGCTAATGGAGAATGAAAAGCATCCTTCACTTGATTCTTAATGTACTTTAAAATCGGTGGAGGATCCTTGTTTGGTTCGTCTTCTCCGTCGCTTCCTCTTTTGGCAGATTCTCTCCCACGTTCCGCATCTTGATCGGCCAGGTCCCTGGAAGAGTCACGATTAACACCGGTCAGGCGTCCCGACTGAGAGCCTTCCAGATTCTTCTCAATTCTGAAAAGCAAAGTCTTTCATTGCCAAAGAACAAGAAAACTATTATTGTCATATCTTACTTGTACTTCCGGCCTACGCTGTCCTTCCTTCTTACTGGGGAAACCTGCGTGCTTGTTTGCTCTGATACTTTTCTACCTCTTTTCTCTCTTTTACCATCTTCCTTCTTGTCCGTGTCCAGGTCAAAAGTGCCAAGCCCATTAAGTATACCAAACTCTTCACCATAAATCTTGCGCACTGACTTTATCAATCTACCACTCGCTCGCATCTGACGTCGATGACAAAATGGATGACAGAAGCTCTGATGCGAGCAGTAAAAATTGAATGAATTCGCAAGCTGCACAAGAACCTTCATCCAAGGATAATTTCTATTGGTCTCATCGGTATCGTTACTGTCACTGGGACTCTCGGGAGGTTGATCATCGCTCAGGATTCCTGGAGACTCTTCGCCACTAACTTCGCCTCCTAGACCAGGCTCAGAAGTGTCACTCCTGTCAGACAGAGAACTGACCTTCCTCTTCGATTGGATAGAATCGGTTCTTCTCACAGCATCTAAGGAAAACACTTAATCAATATGAAATTTTTGACTACTCAGATGAAAGTATAGGACAATTGATGATCTTAAAAGAATTGCTCACATGCTTCGCACTCGACATCCTTCCCTTCCTTGGTACCACGACGTAGTTTGAGGCTTCTCCTCTTGAAAGAACCTGTAGCATTACCAGCTGTTCCACGACGCAGAAGAAATGGTCGACCCTGAGGTGCCTGTACGCGTCTGTTCTTCTCACGTTCATTATTCTGCGTCTCTTCTCCTTGAATAGTCACAGTAGACTTGCTACTCCCTTCAGACTCGTTATCAGGCTCGTGAAGAACAAAGCTGATCTTGCGTTCTGAAAATAATTAAAGAAACAAATATAACGGGGATAGAATAAGATGCTTAAAAATCTAAGATCCTCTGTTACCCTCGCCTGTTTCACGATCTCCTGCAATAGACTGTAGACTTTGTGCAGAAGTCTGAGATTGGCCCATAGAAGACAACGCCATGCTCCATCGCCTGTTGGCTTCGCGACTGTACATTCTGTCCCAGGGTTGTGGACGTTCCTTTGTACATAACCTGCTTGACTTTGGCAAGGTCTGATAAGTCTCCCTGAGAAAGGCAGTTACCTCCAATAAAAGAACACAGGCAACGAGTCGTAAAGCCATCGGACATTGGGATCCGTAACCATTGATGCTGGCTGAAAACTCATAATTACATCTAGTATATGCAAAACTGAAAAAGGTATTGTATTATTCGGCCTCCTTACCCTCATCCAAAAAATCTTCCTCCTCGTCCTCGATTATCAGTTCCCTCTGCTTACTTTCATCGGACACCATAGTTATTACTTGCTCGACATTTTGTTTATCCTCAGCCAGTAACACTTCTAATCTGGAACCCAATGCTTCCGCCCATTGATAGAACAACTTCCCAGCTGCTCGTTGCAGGACGTGGGTGCGTCTCAAGCCAGTTGGTGCATTGCGATTGTTCATTGGTACAGACGGCCGAAACATTGGGAAGTTCAATTTCATCCAGGCTGGCCAATGGCCTTTGTTACATTGATGGACCAGGTGAGCGCATTCGAGTATCATGGCAGCTCGGGCCACCACGGGAGCATAGGGCTATAACAATTTTATATATTTGATTTTGGTACCGATTTATGAATTATTTCTCATGTTTACCAGGTCCAAAACTGCTGCCATTAGGTGATGATCGGGAACGGATCCAGGTTGACAGGTCTCCAAGAGAAAAGAAAACCTTGCCATGCCGTCGTATATTATCGTACGTGACACCAACCTGCGCTCTTTCAAGACAACAAATTCGGATTCTCGTGAAGCTTCACCCATGTCCATTGAATTTCTGCGACTGAAATCTATGCAGATGAATTGATTTAACTAATTCATTTCCAAGATCGAAGGGAAAGCTAAAAGTCTTACAGCTTCCAGGCACTTCCTCCAAACTCTCCTTTTTCTTTCCTTTGCCCAGTCCAATTTTATTTAACTGATCCTCCATCCGTCTCTTCGCCTTTTGCAACGTCTGACTGACCCTACAACGCGCAACGCTGTGGATGAATTTGAAATGCGGCTTACACTCTGAAGTCACGACGAGGTCAATTTTTCGTAAATTACGTCACATACCCACGTCCAGTTCGCGAAGTACCGCGATAATATCCATGATAAATACTCGGTTGTCTAACGAAACTTGCTTCGGTAGGAGACTCGCTGCTATCATGGCTGTCAGTGGAATCTGTTCTTCCATATTCCTTGCGGAACCAATTGACTAGATTTTACAATAAAAAAACAAGCTGTACACTGTCTGATACTAAGTCAGTATAAATATAATTTTATATTGCACTGACCAATCCCACCGATCTTTAATCTTGCTGACTTTCTAGATTTACTCATCATAGAGCAAGATTCGCCCAATCCAAGATTGCGTTCACTTTGTCTGGGCGTTAGTATGTGATGCTTTTTACGTAAATTGCCTAATGGACTCTGACTGATCTTGGCATTCTCCTCGCTGAGTTCGGTTTCCAAAAGACTCTGAATCCAAAGACAATTATTTATCAACTTGGCAATTCTTATGAACTACCAATTCTTATAAGCCATGATATTTACGGCGCAGGTAGAGGAAGTGCTTCTTTTCTTAAAGAGAAATTTTCGTGTTCCCCTGTCATCTACGGCATAACAGGAATCACCACCCAGGTCGGGATTTTCTTCAAAATCCGACTGATGGATGTGCCTAATGAAAGACATGAAAAAATATATTTAAAAAGTAAGGACTGTATATCAACAAGAAATATCTTACCTAATAACCCTCGTGGTTTGAACGTTACTGTTACTTTTTTTATTAGGCCGATCAGCCGAGTCCAATAAACCACTAAGAGCAGTGCGCCGAAAGACGCCGCCATGAGTTTCCTTGACGTAAGTAATAAACTGCCTTAGGTCACAATAAAGCGAAATATTTTCTTGCGACTTAAGTTGCTTCAGTGACTTGACGAATCGAGTAACGAGAGGTTTGAAGACATTGCTCATTATTTGCCCTTCGGTTCCTCTCGCTCCGCCAGCACTGCCACCCATTCCACAGTAAGCAGCTGCGGCAGCCACAGCAGTTGCGGCTGCAGCTGCAGTGGCTGCAGCAGCCGTATTGGCTGGTACACCTCCACTTCCGCCGCCACCGCTACCACTAGCACTTCCGCCGCTAAAAGCTGCTCCGAAATTAGTCGCGTATCCACCCTGAGACGCGACATCCGGCGACTTGCTGGAACTTCTTTTCTGATCTGCAAGAAGAAGATGAACGCGCGACGAGAATTAAAGAAGAGACTCCACGGCATTAATGATACTTCAAAGTTACTCACTAAGCGGAGATAATAACGAACTTGGGTCTACGCAGAATCCAACGTACGCATGGAAGAAATCCAGAAGCTCAGGGATTGGCTGTTCGCGAATCATCGAACGCAAGAATCGCGAGAATTGCTTTGAACTTGCACGATGCAGTTTGCTCAGAATACTCTGACCCTGTGACCTGATGAAATCGGCCGGCGGTCCTCTCATGCCTTCCGAGCATCCGTGAGGACAGCCCAGGTGCTTCAGTACTCTTATTACGCAATTCATCAGGAGACTGTGAGCCGTCAATTGTTTACTGTTCTTTCCGTTTCCCTCGTTTCTACGATCTTGCTCGTTGCCTGGAGAATCGTGCTTCCTCGCAAGACTCTCCGTCTTCTCACCTGGACCAGGACCTGCAGGTGGCCCTGTCAATAGTTCAGTCAGAGAAATTCTCTTATTGATCATCTCCGAAACGCCTACCTGTGTTATCGCTGCCTGAATTCTCTTCGCGTAGGCATTGCTTCAAAACTCCCATGTCCATTAACAGTTCAAGCAAGTTCAGAATATTCTCACAGACGCGAAGAGTGCAGCAGGAATTATCTCTTAGAGCAACTGAATGTACAGCCTGCAATTATTTTATGGGTCAATTCACCATAATAATGTTAATAATTGCTTAAAGTACCTTTAGCATAACTTGATAATCTATATCTCCCTCCTTCGTTATATAACAAAGTGATCCTGGAGCTTCCGGAATTTCGTCCCCTGTATAAATAATATTCGAGTCTGTCTGAGATCTGGTTAAACTCGGCTTCCTCTCTGATCCTGATTTACTGCCGTGAATGCTCACAGCATTCAGCTGACTATCGATGGACACCTGTTGACAAATTCATAAATTTATCATAGTTTGATGTGAAAATATGAATTTTTCTAAAAAAAAAGACAGATTTATTATACATTATTTACCTGTCTTTTCATGTAATCTGGTGATGGTGTCGGCGTATGTTCCGTGACTGTGATTATCGGATTGGTACCCGTACAAGATTGACTGTAAAATCTGCTTTGCTTTCTTTCGATCCTCGTATCGCCAATATATCTAAAAGGTAACAATCATATGGAATATTAGTAATGTATTTCAATTAATAAAAAAATGTCCATGCTATTCCTCATGTACTTATTCGAGCACTAATCTCTACGTTCCTCTACTTCAGTCTAATTCAGTCTAATCGAAACCAGGGTTCGTAGGACCTCATGCTACCTCGACCTAACTACAGCAAGATGTCTACTCGAGAGATAAAAAAGGATACAATAGCAAAAGCAAAAGCAAAAGCAAAAGCAAGGTGTTGTAGCAGATACCAAGTATTAAAGTGAAACTTATATAAAGAAGACAGGTAATTAAATGTGTAACTACTAAAATGATCAATAAAAGGTTTAAAGGACTGAAATATTTTTGTGGATTTTCATAACGATTCCAATGAGAATTGTATTGATCGATGAAAATCGAGGTGAGCAAGCATTAGTTAATAAATTGCAGAATGATTCGGAAAAGTGGGAGACGTCTGATTTGGAATGTGCTTCCGTGCTAATCAGCTGAAGCTGAAGTCGAAAAGTTTGAAGTGATAGGAAGAAGCGGAAGAAGAGTGTACCGAAAGAAGCTCATGTACTTCCTCGGTGATGATTCATGTGATTGAGTCATTTATGACTTACCCTCCCGCGGTCAGCTCGTCAATCAAGCAGCTGAGCACGAGTTCGGGGTGAAAGAGGCGAAGAAAAGTGAAAAAAAGAGACACACACAGAGAAAGTCATTACATACGAGTCAAATGAGAAATAGAGAGAATCATTAATAGCCTGTCAGTGCCATCGTCCAAGTAGATAATACATATATGAAAATATTGTTAATCTTCTTATCACCTATTTAGTAATACTATATGTATATCAGTCCTACGTCTATTGCCTATGACTATCTTTTATATGATTGATTATTAAAAATGAGAAAACGCAGCCTTCGTAATACGTATATTGAGTCAAGAGAGATATGCTTTGAATACTTAGAATGCTTGAATACTTCATAAAATGAAATTTATTGTGTTTAAGAAAAACTTCGTACCTTAGGCTTGGCATACTCTTCCCTTTTATTAAATTCGTGGGATGCTTAATCCTGTCCACGTCTTTTGCGTCGAAAATCTTTGAAGAGGTCGAAGTGGGTCTAGTCAGATGATCATCTCCGGTATCCAGACTCCTGTGACACTCCTGTAACAGATTCAAAAAGTGCATTCAGTGAAATCTATGAAAAAAATTAAAAATTCAAGAAACTCGCCTGCTCAAATAATGCTTTTGGATCTTCCTGCCCAATTTTTTCTAACGTCTTCTCCGACTTGGAGAGTAACTTGGTCTCGACGAAGGCCTTGAGGTCGGCCATCTTCATCCTCTTCTTCGTCTTCTCACTGGCTCTTCTAGAATGTCGCAAGTCCGGGTCATTTGACTTGCGTGGTACATACGGGGAATCTGGCAGGGTGGTCAGATCTGTATGGGCAAAGAGAAGCAGAGGTCATCACAAATCATCCAGAGGACTGGACTAACGTACCTGTGAGTACTGAAGCGTCACGAGGTTCCGGTATTTCAATAAAATCCTTATTGGCTTCATCACGTTTGCCACTTTCGGGACTTTGATAGATGGAAACTTCAATCTTTGGAATTGGCAAAGAATTACTCCGGCGACGAGGAAGCTGCTGGACCGAACTGTCCTCATTGATCTCCCGCAGTCTACGAGTGCCGATATAAGGTCAGTACTTGATAATCTTTTTGGAATTATTTAAAGGATACCTTACCGATGATAAAGGAATTGCAGTGCCCAAAAAATACCCTCTTCCTGCCACTGGGAAACGAAGAGACACCTCAGCACTGCTACGTCCAAGAAGGTGGCAGCACAGACGTCAATGATCACAGGAGTTCCAGAAGAAAGTCTAGGTTGTCTTTGAGATCCTGTACCGCCAGGTGAACTCTGACGTGTCAACGAAGATTTCGATTTAGATCCTTCCAGATCCTTATCATCCCTATCATCCCTCTCGATCTTCTCCGTACAAATTGTCTTCTTTGCTTGATAATGTCTACAGGTGTCTAAACCGGAAATGGCCGTGACCTGTTCTATGGTCAGGGTAGATTTGGATGAACTAGTAGTTCTTCCCATGGCAACATGAAATATGCTAGCTTCACCGGCAAAAATTGTTGATATTTCCTTCACCCCGTCTATAGCCTTCTCGGATTCACTTAACGAGGGTAATCGAAAAATGACCTAATCACCAAAAAAAAACAACAATCAAGTCTTCGATCGTTCCATCGTCATCTTCGTCATCTTCGTAATCTTCGTCACATTCACTCACCACGTGTTCGTCCTCTGTACTGGAACTTTCTTCGGGTATGGTTTCAGGAAATACAGTATCCTTGGGCGACGATAACCAATTGCTCTGTGATAACAGTATATTAATATAAAGTGGAATAATGAACCATGATGACATAATATAATAAAAAGTTGTACCTCTTCGTCGGCCTGTCTACTAGAGGGTGGTACACTCTGATCAGAAAAGCACGCACTGACAGATTGGCTCGGTGGACTCTCTGTATCTGCACCTTTGTCCATGGGTGTTTTTCCTATGGGAAAGCACACTATTAGTAATTTCTATACTTGAACATAGAAAAAGGAATAGCTTAGTAAGATTTTAGATCTTTCTTCACTCACTTCCCCCCATGAAGACGTCTTCGAATTGCTGCTGGTGTCTGGTTGCCTTGGTGGAACGACACCATAGAGCACGAGGCTTCGGACGGCAATGGGCAGTGAAGCACGGTGTGTCAGGATGCCGACATTCCCACATTGCCGACCATATCTTCAGGCCGTTTTGTAATCGATAGTTGGAGTTGAAGTCAGACTCCTTCAGGTGATTGCACAAAGGGGCAAAGAGGTAAACGAAAAGCTGGAAGATGAAAAAAATTATTTTTTAATTAACTTTCCTTTTACTGGAAATTACAAGACACGTATTCTTACCGTCATCGTGGGTATAGAGAAAAGATAGTAAAATGGATTGGAGTGATAGATTCTATGCTCAGCATCCGCATCTGCACACTCTTCGGCTGCATCCAAAATTATCCAATGAAGAGTGTACAGTAGCTTTGTCTCTGCAGCCCCAAAGCTTTGAAGATCCTTCCTAGATTTTATTTTATTAAAGATACATTATTCATCCTTCGGGTTATCGCTGTGTGTTCGCTGCCAGAATTCCTTACCTGTTGTGAAGGAGATTCGCAGAGGCGTGAAGAACGTGAGGAAGAGCTGCTTGTATCAGACGCCATCGCGGCACTGATTCCAGAGCTTCGGTCAAAGATAACGATAATCCCGAGTGAAGATTTTGTACCAGAACTTTCTCGAAACACTGTTAAATCGAAAAGAACATTTTCATAAATTACATATTACACTCGCTGGATCATCTGGATCCTCGCTGACTTACCTTGCAGGCTTCCTTCATCTCCTGCGTATAGGATGGCATTAAGAAAGTATGTAATGTCAGGTAAAACAAATATTATTCTCTACATAGATCCAATAGACACAGTAAAGGGAAAAAGAATTATTTAATATCGAAGAAAGTTTAAGAGTCGCCTTGATAAATAAATTCTACATACGAGCCTACAGTACACAATGTGTTACGCATATGACAAGTATCTGTACAGCAAAGAGAAGACAAAATTTTACATGCTCGGCAAAAGTTATTTCACGATATAAAGAGTATGGACGAGTCTCCCGTGCGTGAAGATATTCTTAAAGCAAATTCAAATACGAATGCAGGTGGTTGCGTGATAAAGGCGATAAGCGTCTAAAGGGACGAAGGGAGCTTACGGAAATTGGTATTTAAATTATGATTCTTATCGCTAACTAAATACCAACTACCTCTTTTATGTATTCTCATGAATTTCCTCTTAGAATTCACCCGAATTCTAATCTCGGAGTGCGAAAGGTCGTATTTGAAAGAAATCAAAATAATCGAAAAAAAAAAAGATTGAAATTTAAATGTATCAAATATATTAAATTTATAATCACTGCGGACAACGTGGGTATAATCTACAATTAAAAGCTGTCATGGGACTAATCCCAAAGGTAATTGGGAAAAGGTCAATATCGCGGGTCAGCAAGCAGATAAGCGAACTTACATGATGGCCGGGCGCGTGTTGACAGAACTGCAGGTGTCACGTGGAGACGGCCGCGTGGAGGAGGTCATTTCGTTAGTGCAGGTTCAGGCAAATCAGGCAAAATTTATTGGGAGCAAGGGGATGGAACGTCTTGGTAAGATCAATTTAATATGAATTTAGGGATGCTGGGTCATTTTGGCCTGGAGGATAGGTCAACGCGAAAGCGTACATTAGTAGTACTGTACAGGTTATGGTCAGTCGCTTAGGACAATTATGTAATTATGTACAATACCACATAAAATTTTGTTATCCTTATGTATTACAAGAAAATTTTTAAATTATCATCTTATCGGTCTGTCTCGTATTTTTTTTTCTTTTTAAAATACACATTCGTTTTACGTATTAGGTTTTATCGAGAGACAAAATTGTTTCTCCGTTTCCTCTGGAATTTGCTAAATTTTCGAGAAAAACCGACGCTGACTTTTCGAACCATTGAGAGTCGGTCGAGACGCACGTGCGTAACGTGAAGCACAGTTCTTGGCAGCAACAATTACATCAAGCAAAAATGGACAGAAAGTACTGCTTCGGACTTTCTTACTTTTGTCACACTTTTTACGGGGGGATAACAAGCAAAATATTTATTTAATTAATTGTTCGTATTTATAGGTGCGTCGATATTAATAGGTATTTGTTTGACGTTAAAAAATATTCTTTTCTTTTTTTTCTCCGTGTCATTCATCACAGCCCTTGGGCTCCTCACATCCTTTCGTACAGTCATACACGTTTTTTTAAATTTTCCATAAAAATGTATAAACAGTAAGTAAAGTAAACCTTACCATGCATGATGCCTCGTGTAGCTTTCCTAATTTGGCACGAATAAAGGGACTGCGAAAGAGAAGCGTTTTTTTTAGACACAGGAAGAGAAATAAAGAATCACTATATAATGCTAACACGATGCTCGAATCACTGCTCGTATCTCATACCTTATCTGACGCCAGAGGAAAACCTGAATAGGAATTGGCAAGGCCTGATCGTTCAAGCTATCGTCGGATGAACGTCGTTTCTCCATGTTGTTCTGCAATAAAGACCAGCGAAGGCATAACGAGTCAAGATATCATCAGAATTCACGCCTACACCCTATTGGCTCAGTCACGAACATTCTGGGAGCTTACCAAATCAATTTGAGGAGGTGGTTAAAGGGAAGAAGAGAAAAAGGGAGAAGAATAGAAAAGTAACACGAAGCAAAGAAGCGAGAGCTACTTTAATCAAGTACCAACCTTGTTCCTCTATTCGTGACTCGGGCGAAACGAATCCATATGGTAGAGTTCGTAAATGGCCAGGATTCAGCCTGGCCGAAGCATCGAGAGGAAGAATTGTGGAAACTTGAGAAAATGAAAAAAAAAATCTTTCCCAATGATCTCGAAGTCTGTATCACTTTGTGTCCTTAGGAGAAGCAGAAGTACTTCTTGATAGGAAGGAAGGAAAGGCGAGAGAGAAAGTGGAGGCTCTGAGTGCGTCGCGACGTAATCACGTGCCAGAGGAGGGATGAAAGTTGTCTGGCATTTCCGTGGCTGGTAGATGCCAACGAGAGTGCCAGGGGAGGATGCACGCAGAGGACATAAGCGCACGAGGGCGGATTGTGAACTGAGAGGGTGAAGAAGGTGGCAAGAGAGAGTGAGAGAGAGAGAGAGAGAGAGAGACGAATGCGCGCGCGACTCTTGGGAAATCCAATGCGCCGTCGTTCATCGATCAGTCGAGGAATCTGCTTGCTGGACCAACCCTACACTCGACGACCTGACCACCCTTCAGCATCCTCAGCATCTTCGCCAAGCCTTAGGCACCACCTATCTACTCGGCCTGAAACGTGCCAAGATGGTGCGCGCGAATTGCGCTAGATGGACACTTTTGGGATTTTAGTGTAGGAATTTAGAAATTTAGAAATTCGACAAATACTTTCAAGGGACACTGTACGAGGGACGTCGATTTAGGCGATCGACTCTATAATCAAACTTGGTCTTTTGAATTTTCATAATTTCGTGCCAATTTTTTATCCAAAAAACTTTCCACGTCCTTAAGTGTCATGTCCATCTCGAATGTCACTTCGTCCGCACGGACGCGAACTTTGCCTTTTCTCTCTTTGCAGGGAACCGGATCAATCTCTATGCAGACTTCGGTCGTTGCTCCTGTCTCGCCAGCCACGCGCTTCGCTTCGTTGCTCACTGCTTTGCAAATGTCAGACCATAAGTCACGTTGCTCCGGATTAAGCGTTCCTACCAGTTGCTCAAAACTCTCCCAATCCATTTCTTCATTGCTGTCGAGGATCTTTCTGTACATCGGTAGGCCTCTGGAGGCTGGATCTACTATGGTGTCAGTGCTGACAGTGTCGCGAGAGGAATCATCGTAGATCACTTCGCGCTCGAAGCGCTCCGAATTTTCAATTTTTAAACGATTTTCAGTACTACTCAGCGAAAGTCTGGAAACTGGATTCTTGTAAGTCATTTTCAGGCTTCCTTTTGGACTTTCTTCAATTTTTGTTGTAGGTGCGCTTATTATTATATATTGTTGCTTGGCCAAGCAACGGCCTTCGTCAATTGGATCGTCGGTCAATTTCAAGGATGACTCTTTGGTGCCCCAAATTTTTTCAATGATTTCCCGACTGATGTCAAAAGGTTTTAAGGAGGGTCCACAGCAGCATGCTTTTTTTGAGTTGACTTCCGACTTTCTTTTAGTGGATTTCAATTTAATTGGTGTATCAATTGTTTTTATCAAATCCTGTCCGACAGAACGTTTTGATAGTTTTCCTTGAATCTTTCCAGCTTCAGAATTCTCGTCGTTATACAGTTTGTCTTCTGAGATTACGGAATAAGTGGCGCGATTTTCAATGGCTTTAGAAATCTTTTCTCTGACGATACGAATTATTTCGGCTCTCTTATCGCTCGACAATAATTTCTCCATCGAACCAGACACCAATTCCTTATCGCCAACTTCACGCTTCTTGCCTCCCAAAGTCTGCAATATTTTTCCATCAGGCTTCATCCATTCGCGTATCAAATTCTCAGCAGAAGACGAGCTGAAGGCCGTCGTATCGCTTTCTGGAAAATTTTCCGATTTCTCCTCGGTACGATTCCCTAAAGAAATGGCGTCGTCGGATTTAAAGGATCGTTCATTCTCGCAAGTGTCCTTAGCGACCGATAACGCGGGCTCGTTGCACTTTTCCAATTTTTCACAAATATCTTTAGCACGGCCACTATCGCAAAGCCAAAATCCAGCATCCAATGGCGAAGCACCATCTCTGCTTGCATGTAAAACAAAACTTTGCTTCCTTTTGTCGAAAATACGATTGACCGTAGATTCAGCTAAATCTTTAAAAACTTTATTTTTATCCTCCTTTTTATCGGCAATAGACAATTGTCCTTTTGCCAGATATTTCATCGTATCCTTCAAAGGAGTCAATTCAATCGGAAATACTGACTGCACTTCCACTGAACCAGCTGTCAAGTTTTCAAAGATTTCAGGAGTCTGGGATTCCGTTACCGGCTCCCTACTAGTGGCATCTACCTCTTTCACACGTTCATTCTTATGCTCCTCGGCTTTCGGCAAGTCGCTCGAACGGCAACGTCTTCTAGTTACAGCGTCTCCAGCCACACGAGGATTATTAAATGTCCTTCCCTTGGCCTTCTCTTGCGTTTCGTTTCGCTGCCGGACGCGGCGCTGCTTGTCGGCGATGACGTCAGCTTCGACCTCCGGCTTCTTGGTCCCCGTCTTGATCTTGGACTTGGTTTCACTGTCATCGACATGATTTTCGGCATTCCTCTCGCAGGCTCGTCGCACGCTTGTAAAAAGAGGAGGACGTTTAGCTGAAGCTTCTCTTATAGGACGACGAGCAGGACGTGGATTTTGAAAGGACCTTCCTGTCTTCCCCGACACTTCGTTCGAAGTGGAATCCCGTTCAGCCGCCATAGTTTTGTTCTGTATCGGATCGTTAGCTCTCAAGTATCTCTCACTGTATCCTGCAGCATTCCTTGGTCCTGAGATTTCGGATAATTCTGGAGAAAATCGTGAACGCGTCTGTGCACTCGGATGAATATCCTTTTTATCACTGTTATCCTTGCGCGTCGTTATTGATCTCTCATAGATCTTCAGGTAATTTTTGTCACTGATACTTCTCGAGGATCTTTGATGATCCGGAGATAGTCGGTTGGATTCTGTATCGCGGGTCAATCCCCTGGATGATTTTAGACAACTGATGACTCCGCAGTATTCGCACTTTGTGAGAGATTGATCTTTTTTCAAAAATTCATCCAACTTCCTCTCGTCCCATCCTCCAAGTAGTTTCTGCAGCATCGGTATCAGTTCTTTAGAAAAATTATCTCTTTGTGACTTTGGTCTCTTCATTTCGGTCTTCAGTCGATCCAGGACCTTGTGAACGGCACCTAATTCTATGAAGGGGATTTTACCGGGATCGGAAGTCGCCTTTTTAGAAATTTGAGAAACGTCAATTTTCTTCTCACTGATTACGTTTGCTGCAGCTGGCTCCTCTTTGATTACTGTCTTCGACTGAGATTCTAAAGAATCGGTTAACGTATCGTCCTGATCCGATCCAACGTTATCCGAGTTATCAGACCGGTAATGATCGCCCGATTGAGGAATTTTTAAGGGAACTTTTGATTTCGACATGGTCATATTATTTTTTATTTCTGAAATATTTTCTTTGTATTTTTGACCCAATGGATGATCACCGTGTACCTTGTCATTCTCTTTAATTAAATTCAAAATCTTTGGGGATTTTGAACTCGACTTTCCCAGTGTAGATTTTGATTCACAAGCTGCTGGATGAATTATTGTAACTTCCACAAGATCATCAGGATCCAGTCGATTATCCTTAGACTTCCTGTGTCTGTTCTCGTAGAGACACTGACTGACCTCGACCTCAAGAAGCACCTTCACATTGTCTCCTGCACAACCGTTTATCTCTGATTTTCGATAATTCTCTTCGTTTACGTAATTCGATATCGATGAGATCTCTGTTGAATCGAACGACGGAGAACACGCTTCCATTACACATCTCGCACGTGATTTGACTCGAGGACAAAAATTTTATGAGACCTGTTGCATATCTTTCAGTCTAGGTTAGGCAATCGCACTGCATTTAGTCATGGCCAAAGCAAAATATATGAATATTGACATTGGAAAGAATTTTCGAAATTTATGGAATCGCTCTTTCCGTGAAAAAGTTTGACAATCGAATTGAAAAAAATAATAAACAGCAATTGACATCTGCTTTTTTAGGATAGATCAGGTTATCTGAAAAATTTATAAAAAATTTACTTGGAATCGTCACGAATGATAAAAAATAAAGAAAGCATTAGTTTCCTTAGAAGACGTAACGAATTTGAAAAAGAAAATGTCAATTTGAAAATCGATACAAAATGCACGATCGTATCTTTTGCAAAGAACCTGGTTAACGAAGTGGCACTGAAAGCTGTAAACATTGTGAATGCTGATAAGGAAAAAGGTAGTGTGAATTCAAAAAAAAAAAAAAAAAGAGTTTCTTCAAAATATTACATTTTTATTTTCTATGAAGGAAAGTCCTGGAAAAACAAGTTAGAATCCAAGAGTCAAAATTTATCCATGGAGAAAAATCAAGACGATCTCGAATCGAGAGAAAACTATTCGCAGGAGAATCAACCGATCGTTCAAATGATTCAGATGCAGCTGCAAGATGGAGGCTGCGTTGATCCAACCGAAAGAGAACAAATTATTAAACTTGTTCAAGATTTGGGAAACTTACAGATTGGTGACTCATCATTGGTCAAGCCAGGACTTACCACCTTAGAGAATCAAATTAAAAGAGCCGTTCACAATATAGACAACATGATCGTGACTGAAAGCAAGATATCGGAAGGTCAGGGAGATGTGGATCATCAGCAATTGATCGAGACGATCGAGATCACAGAAATAACGGACGAAGTGGATCAATCGAATATAGAAGCCGGCGAGTCGACGAGTCGGCTAGACACGGCAAAACTGACCTCGTGTGTTCTGTACAAAATGATCGAAGAACTCGAGACAGAATCAAACCCGGAAGAAGCGTCAGTGAAATGCATCGAGAGAATTTCGATTAATTCACCGAACGGCCAAAAAATAGCAAAATGGGAAGAGAGCGAAGAAAAATTCATACGGATCATCGAAGGATCGCAAGACGACGAGGAGCAAGATAAATCGGATACAGAAGTGTCATTTATGAAATCGAATGAGAAACCGTCGTCCAAAACCGACTCCGTTTCGTCATTGGCCAAAGACGTGAAACAGGAAGTAGTGGATGCGCCACCTGCCATCTCGATGATTTTCAACGACTTCACTGCCAAGTCTGACTCCGCTGAGAAACTAGAAAGCATTTCGTTGGAAGCCAACTCGAAATTCAAGTCAAAAAAGAAAAGAGGTTTGGGCAGCAAGCTGAGAAGATTCTTTCTATCGACTCTGGGTCGTAAATCCGACTCGTGATCTGTTAGTGGAATTTGACCTGGCGCATTATTGAAATCTAATAAAGTTCAATTTTTAACTTCTTCGGTTAGAATGAGTCATTTTTGAGCTACCGAGTGCGGAATCGCCCTTCGCTCCCGGTTCCTCGCACGAAAATAGACTCGAGACTCTAAATTCGATTATCACTGACCAGCAGGCTGCGTCAGACATTCTCAGGTCCCAGTGGGCCTGGTCTGCACTTAGCTACTAGTTGTCGCCAGTTGCCAGAACGAATTCTGAATGAAACTGGATACTCCCGACTGTCTTATTGTCAGTATTTGGTATCGCGAAGCTTTTACACCTGAGGGAAATTCTAGTTTACGAGAAAAGCTTCCCTTCGGCTAAACTCGGGCGCAGTCGGTTGTGGCAGGAATCAGCTCGTGTATTTTTGAGTGGCGGATATATACACCGCGACGGTAGCTCCCGGCATCGTGACAGATCTGGCAACCCTGACACGAAAATACAATTGTCCAAAACGATTTACCATAGTGGTAGCACACAGTTTCACTTCGAAGGACGTTAAACTGTTTTTGGAATGCGTCGTTGCCAAAGTTAGATCCGAGAGGGTTTTTCGGCTGGGAGGCTGTGATTCTCGGATGACCCGATCGAGGCGCCATCTGTCGTAATAAAATGAATCGGCGCGGTACCTCCTGGTCGCACTTCTGGTTCAAACTTCGTTCAGGAAACACCCAGAAGCCGTCACACCTACCAAATAGCAATGGTGAGTCTCCTGTCCTTATCGTGGATCTTCTACCAGTCGATACTGCAAATTTCTACTTTCTTTCGAAAAATTGAATCCTAATTAAAAAAACAAGTGAAAGTCGCCAATGTGAATTATTGAACTTCGATTACGGTTTCCGGCTCGCGATAGATCTCAGCAGTACACATTTTTTATTCTTGTAATAAGAAAAACGTATTCTGGCAATTTTCAACGTTCGAATTAGAAATTCGCATTCCCCGATCTAATTAAATATTTTCTTTTATTAATTACAGGCTGATCTCAGCGCAAGGGATGTCGAAAGTGAGTACAAAGATCCAAAGCTCACTTTAAAAGATAATTCATAAAGAAAGGTACGGACTAATCCGCTGCTACGTAGTACGGTGCTTCACGAATAAATAAGATTCACTTCTGTAAGAAATAGTGGCAAATGCATAGACATATGTAAACGCATAAAGCAAAAAGAGACATAGATCTTGAAAATAATAATAACAGAAAAAGTTCATTCAAAATTACTACCGTTACTTTTCGTATAATCGTGTATGGGAGTGCAACGAAGACTGAGTGAGGTCCTGGCAAAATTTTTTATTTATTTTCATAAAAACCCAAACGGGTAAATTCTGACGTTATATTGCGTAACGGCTTGTAACGGGGAACCGCAAGAAATGAGCATTCCAATTGGGGAGCGCGGTGTTCCGCAGCCAAAAATAGTTCAGACGCTGTTCTTATATGGCTCGACGGGGGTAACCTGAGCCACGTGTTGGTAGCTGAGGAAGGTGTGGGGATGACATGCCTTCAAGGGAGGGGGTTACCATCGCTAAAGATAGACGACAGATATTTTCGATGAAGAGCCGTAGCACTGTTGCCTAATAAAAACAAAAAAAAACCTTACGGGATACGCAGGCGAATTATCTGGGGCAAATCCGCAAAAAAACATTTGGGAGCCAAAATCATTTTGATCGTAAACTAATTTCTTTACAAGACGAATGCTTAGCTCTGTACCCAAGTGGGAAATTAAACTTGGTCTTCTTACCTCAATAAATTAGGGGCTGAATTCGCCTTCTCCATCTACGATACCGAAGGTACGAACGTCATCGACGCCGTCGACCTCGGCAACGTTCTCCGTGCTCTGAACCTTAACCCAACCAACGCCACCATTGAGAAACTCGGCGGCACCAAGAAGAAGGGCGAGAAGAAACTGAAACTCGACGAATTCCTTCCCATCTTCAGTCAGGTCAAGAAGGATAAGGACCAGGGTTGCTACGAGGACTTCTTGGAGTGCTTGAAGCTCTACGACAAGTCTGAGAACGGCACCATGTTGGCTGCTGAACTCTCCCACACGCTCCTCACCTTGGGTAATGGGAAAATCCATAAAAAGCATAAATTCAGTGTAAAACTATAGATGGACATTAATCGCGAGAATGAAAATATTAAGAATATAATTTTGTACTGTCTAGGTGAGCGTCTTACTGACCAGGAGTGCGACACCGTGCTGAAGGATTGCATGGACCCCGAGGACGATGACGGTTTCATCCCCTATGCCCGTAAGTTGTCACTGGAGCACAAAACAGGAGTATCTAGAAAGATGATTAATTTCCATTAGAAAAATATTTCAAAGTATTACCTTCCTCCCTGATGTAGCTTTGATTTAAAAGAATACTTAAACAGGAGTGAAATTCAGCCGTTTGATGATCTAGGAGTCGTGTGCAGCTCTTAGCAAGATGATCGATGAAATAATGTACATGGTATACCGTATGTCCCTTGTCGTTTGACCCTCGTAGGTCCCAGTAGATCAAAAGAAAACACATCACTGACCCAGCCCCTTAAATGATTGAGTAACGTTTTACATTGAACTGCCAGTCCCGGAAAAGGTAGACGCAACCTAACGAATAAGCAGACAAGGAGAACCCATCATAGAGAAGATTGTCAGATCCCAAAAAGGAATTAACCAAGTACTACCCCACTTATAGCCCGTATGACCTTTCCCCTTATCTGTCTGATTTGCAGCATTCCTGAAGAAGCTGATGGCCTAAATCCAGAAGTCATGAGAAACAAATCATCAACCGTGAGTAAACCCCGTAGTATCCTGGCCTATATATACATGTGCCTATATGCTTACTCACGTGCCTATACACTTGCCTACGTACCTCTTTGTCTTTCGCATTTCGTTCCTATGAAGAATCTGCATCCGTGTTTCCTTCTCTCTCGATTTACTTCAATCTCTACAGGACGACACGGTGCAACCACCGAGGAGACGATGCTGACAATGAATAACAATCAGCAATCATTCCACTGCTTAAACGTGTCTTAATACCTTTCCAGCGATACACTATTCATATCTTTTGCTCTCATATCGTTTATTTGCATGATCGACGTACTCTACGATCGACGGATCAATCCATTTGAAAGCTATGAGGGGTAATTGAAAAATAATAATAATCATTCTCGCAAACTCTGTCGCTTGGCATCTTCCAATGACTCCGTCCTGACGACGACCGATCTAATGCAATGTTTGTGCATTATTGCAGCGTTCCTTCGTAGAATGTGTGACAAGGCGGCAGAAGGTGCCGGAGACGATGACAACGAATAAAAGATGGCCGCCAATCAGGTCGCGACGTTCATCCATCACCGAACCGAAACTGAAACGGGACAACGATTCCGTCAACATCACCGTCGACGAAGGATACGTCTATCTTATTTCATCACATTCGCCAAAGTTCACTTCCGCCGAAGAGACCAGCTCGGCGTTCTTTCGATCAGCGTTCTTTCTTTTTTCTATACACATCACGCAAAAAGGACACTCACCCTGCGTATATATATACACGATGGATCGTTATTATTAATTTCTAATTTCTACGGCCACCCTAGACTCTAGAAATTAGAGGCGGATATATAATGTCTATCTTATATATTGGGCAGCGATGCCTCATCAGCAATTAACTGGAAATATTTAAATGCAACGTCTGTCATCGGAACCACAAGGCAAAGACATTGCACCCATCATCGATACTAAAATGGACACCTTGTTTTATTTGGTTTAGCACACTGTTGTACTTTTTACGATTATATTAGACGTATCTCAGCACTGTATTAAGCCGAATGAAATAATTCTGTTATTTTACTTACGTGCTATTATTATTACTGCTGCTGCCACTAGTACAATTACTTTAATAAAACTGCGCTTCCGCGTGCTCGAGAGTGACAAACAGTCATCGAGACCAGACAGGACCAGAGGGATTCCTTGAGCGTACCAAAACAGGGCTATTGTCCTAGCGAATAATCATAATTCAAAAATATCTCAAAAAGATGAAAAAAGTGATACATGTATTGAAAATTTTTTTAAATCCACTTCGCATATTTACCGATCTCGTAATGGCTGCCTAATGCTCTACATATGGGTCATGTGTCATCGGCCTAAATACGACATCCCGTTTAGCTCGACATTAGCCTGAATCAAAACGGCCGACAGTTCCACCTGAGGCGAGAACTTTATTTTGTCAGATAACTCTATATAGATACAACGATACGTCATTCGCATTGAATGATATCGTCTCACTACTAGGCATTGACATTGCCATTATCAGATATCGGCATCCACCGAAGAGCCATCTATACCGAAGATCGCGTCTGGTATGATACTACAGTACAGTCAAGTGCATTCTATCGCAAAGTATTCGGCACTCTTCACGTTGTACAAGGATATTATATATTTAAGAATCGTAAAACATACGCGATTTGTACACAACGAGCAGCTGCGTAGAAGCAAAGCGAATCGTGCAGTTCCGCCGATCCTCGTGTAAGTCCGTGAGGCGCGGGCGTGGAGCCTTCGTGGATGCTCGTGCGCCCGGCATTTGGCCAGTCCTTTTAAACAACTCGTGTCAAACGCGCGCGCAGTGTATTGCTTTCGGCGTGTTTTTCGAAGCTTCATCATTGCGCCAAGTGTGAAACGGCGAAGCGAGTGTTGTATTCCGTTGGGAAAGGAAAAGTCTGACTTAGAATTGTATCACCGGCGAGCTATCTTGGCTCGGCAGGAAGATGACGGACGTTCAGCGAAAACCTGCCGTCGGGAGCTTCGGCGAAACGGCACCGAGAAACAGACTATCGCAAAATCCACAAATTCAAACAGGTAGGCAGATGAACCTCTTATTGAAAATCAATGTTGAACTATCATTCAGATATTATAACAGGGCAGAGAGGAATGGCGCGTAAGCGTTGTGGATCACGCGATATTCGTATATTGCATATTGTCGTGTATTTGCGTAATTTACGAATGAGAAGCGTCAGTGACATTCAAGCTCGAACAGGTTGGCGTACCAAACATGCATGTTATTAAATAAGATACAATGCTCTCATGATGAATCTACGAATTTTGAGGTCTCCCAGCTAAACTGTAAAATGACTGGTAAACATTGCTAGTGTCTCATCTTGATATTTTTGGATGTTTACCATCTTGTATTTCTGCGTTGGACATGCATATTATTAAATGGGCCTAACCGAAATACTATTGCCCTACATATTAATGTCTACGTACTCAGGAATGTAATGCGTGGTACGCAAAGATGTACATATACTAGTTAATCGTTCTACATAAGTCATACTATATATTACTATAGCATAATTGTATATACTAATACACAACGTATATCTATCGTAGGATCTAACACGAGTGGAGCATACTGCAATGATTGCACCACGCATAATTTCCTAGAGACCGCGTCAGATATTCTTCATGAAGCAGCAGTAAGAGTAGAAAAAAATTTGAGTGGAGATTGATATGGATAAAAATGGTTTCTCCTGGCCGTAAAAATAAAATAATCATTGCATTGTACTTTGGCTGTGATAAAATTAATATGGAGATTAATAAGAATGCTTTGCGTCGCGTTAAACGTAATTTCTATCTACCACGTATAAAGAATCTAATTGGTTGTTGATTACAAATGAAAATAATGCTCGCTTCCAGGAAATAAATTAGATTTGCCAAGACGATTAAGGACACGCTCTAAATTACAGCCGACCATTCATGGTTCGTGCATTAGGCTGCTTGTGGGTTGAGATGCAAAAAGTGCCGAAGAAAAAGGACTGTGGGATCATTAGAAAATTATGTGGTACGTTCACGTTGATGAATTGACGATAGTCGTCGTTCGTGGGTGTAAAATAGGGCAATTGAAAAATTGCCTGGGCACTGTGCCGCTATATTAGGAACTATTAGAATATCGCGAATCCAATTCAGCCGGAGTATTCATGTAGATATAGGTTTTACGGGATCCTTCGCTAATTCGTCGTCATCGTCCCCTGAGGCATTACCCACATCCGCAAATTTCATTTACTGTAACGACCTACGCGAGGGATTGATAATTAGCAGGCGGTACCTTTATCCTGTAAATCTTCGACTGATTGAGATAAATTGCTAAAATCCTTCAAAACGATGTGCTCCCGTTTTGTCTTAATAAAGATGACCGGATCGCTGTACTTGGTAACTAGCAATCAGATTATTAGAATAACACTGAATTCGTACTGTATACATGAAAAAGATACAACCGCTGGGTACTAATAATCGTATTAGATACGAGTCCGTGACTTTTGACTAAGCACTGACTGTCCCACAGTGACTCCTAAATGTGTATCCAGAAATTCTGTGCCTCTAGAGGTGCGTGCGAAAAATTCATATATGCTTTTGAAATGACCTAGAGAGAAATAAAAGAAATTAATTATTCTATTGAAGTCTTCATTTCTTCACTGGCATCCTTAGTGGACGTCGACGCTGTTTTTACGTAAAAGCAGATTATCTCATACATAGTTTCTGCACGTATACGAATCTATACATAATTTCTATAGACAGTCGATCGTGTAGTTGGTCACGTTCTTCCGCAAGCCGAGTACCTTTTTGCAAAGCTAACGATGACGGTGAACCAGGTAGACCCTGGTGCCTCGCTCCGCCTATCGACCAAACTCTCATCATCGACCGAGTCCACCTTAACGAAATCCAGCCGTAGTACGGAATCAATCGTGTTTGCCCTATTAACGCGTGAAAGTAACCCTCACGCCGGGATCCTCGGAATCGTTCACAATGCCCACCAGCCCTAACAGGGTTCACCGACCCGAGGAGACTACGGCAAGCTTAGAAAAGGCTGACCCGGCAAAAATAGTTGACTGAGTGAAAGAATACAGAAATTGGTAACTGTTTACGGGCACGTATTTTGAAAAGATTTTAGCATTCTGTTATCGGTGCGTCATTTTAGGTTATGTAGCTATTCTAGAGCATCATCGTCATTACTTGATTATGCAATTTTACCAGTCGCAACGCTGGTCGCTATGACGTCTCCTGACCTTCCGCCATTACGAGGTATGCTACCTTGGTCCAGCAACTCGAGATGAGACTAGGAAGATTTTTTTTCCAAGATTAATTACCAGACTGGCAATTTCGTACGAAAAGTCAACAAGCCGCGTCTCTTGGAATGGCATGCATAGAGTAGACTCGGATGTTGATTGAGGCGGGGAGGTCTAGTGCGATACCAGCACATACATACGTGGTACATGTTGTAAGAGACAGCTAGGTGTCCTGATGTAACCGAATGTGGAACGCGCGCTGTGGAATTTCACTTTGTACGCAAAGCTAGGCGCTCTCACCTTTACAACTTTGGCGCGTTATCGTCGATAAGGAAACTGGAGAGTCGATGAACTCTGACCTCCTTCCTAGTTCTTTTCTTCTAGCTGTTGACTGCACTTGCTGAAAACTTTTTCTTTGAAATTCGAAAACTCGTGATCGACGCCCTATGACTAAATGCAACGTCTGTTATGAAAAGAAGTGTACTGAAATAGAGAGGAAACTCATATAAATTCCGATAACGTAATTCAGATGTATACAGTCGTGTTACGTGTTATAAAAAATATTAATAGACTTTATGAAATTATGTAGGCACTCATCGATAAGGACTGATAATATTTACAAGGTGCCCGGAATGCAATTATTTTATCTTTGATCGGCTCTCTTCTCGTCTATCTCCTTTTTCATTTTTTATTTTTCACGTTATTTCTCACCGGCACAGAATTTGGGATTAATCATCGTTTGACAGAACAGCCAGATAGACACAGACGAGTTCGGACGAACGGTAAGTCTGGACCACGAATCGCGCGATAATCGATGATGTCAGACTCCAGAAACGAGTCTCTCCTCCTACGTCATCACGATCATCGTCATCATCATCAAAATAATAATTATAATCATGGCGCTTCTGGCCAACGTAGGTGTGGCTATAATCCATCTCTCACCAATCTTTATCATGGACTCTTCAAACTCTGTACTCAAGTATACGTAACTTGAATGTAACTGTTAGTTCAAGTCACGCAATAAAGCGACACGTAGCTTGACTAGTCAACACTTAGCGATTTTGTATACCAGTTGCAAGTTGGACTTCGGTTACCATCGGGCGCCTTCGGGCCCGCTCGGCCAAGAGGAAACCCGAGTGAACTTTGCGAGAGGGTTCGCTCTCCCATGTACTGGCTAGTCGGGAGGGTTGCTTTTCCGGGGTGAATCTTTGTGCGCCGGTAAGCGACGGGCTAGAGAGTCTCGCTTCCCTTTGTGATGTTGGCGAGCGCGTTGGCGCTCAGCGTCTCGACAAGGGTGCGCGTGCATGTGCCTTAGCGCGAAGGGCGAGAAGGGCGAGAGGGGCGAGAGGGACGGGAGGGAGAATGGACCGACAGGGAGGCTGGGTTGGTACGTGAGCGCAGCCAGACCCGAAATCGATAATAAAACGGCGCCCCGTGACGCAGCATCCCTGCTCCACTGAGGGAGAACGTGCGCGGCGCTACTTCCGCTTTGACCGTATACGCTTAAAGTTAACATCCGATTTCAAATTTTTTTTCTTCCTTCCTTCCATCCTCTTGTCGTTCCCTTTTCTCGCCCCTTGAATCTTTCCTTGCAAGTAAATTCAATGGGAAAAAGAAAACTTGGACTGTATACTATCTCTGACTAGGAGTACAGTCAGTCTGGAAAATACGTGAGACGTGATTGGAATTTTAATGATCTTTCACCCAGTTTTACCCGTGCGACTTCTTTTTTTGTATGCACTCCCGAGCGAATTGGTTGGCCGCGACACAAGTGAAATCCACTTAGTCATCGAC